TGAAGTGTGTGTGTGTGTGTGTGATTGAGCATGAAGTGTGTGTGTGTGATCGAGCATGAAGTGTGTGTGTGTGTGTGTGTGTGTGTGCGTGTGAGATTGAGCATGAAGTACCTGAGCCATACATACGTGAGCCTTACATGGGTTGCATGTTGGGCTGCTATCTGCAAGGTCAGTACCAGGTGTGTGTGTGTGTGTGTGCAAGAGAGATTGAACATGAAGTACCTGAGCCGTACATACGTGAGCCTTACATGTCGATATACTCATGAGTCCCTGCATACACATCTACACAACAACAGATGTTTTTCCTTTTTTCTCTTTTGTAGAAGCATTTTATTGCGGACTCCTAGAGCTCGTATCACAATCCATCCATCCATCCATTGTGTCACACACATTTGTACATGTGTTGTCATCATCGTTCTCAAAACATTTACTTGAGCCCGCAGGTGTGTTTTTCAAGTAGGTGTGTGATCCTCTGAGCGTGGAGATACAGGACAACAAGTAGGCAGATGGCTGCAAATGTTGCCTCGTGACTGGAGCATGAATTCTAGTACGTGGCCCTCGGCACAGAGGGGGCTATGACAGCCCAACCACCAGGGCGGCAGGGGAAGCATCCTGCTGCCTGTGTGTCTGCCCTGCTGCTCCCTGAGAAGTGGGGGTGCCTGTCTAGGAGCCCGGTCCCAGAGTTTCACAACTAAGTCTCGGAGGGAGCTCACTGCTAATGCACCCCAACCCACAGAGACTCAGGCACAGTTTGACTGAGACAAGATCTAGTACTGAGGCCCCAGGGCTCACTCAGAGCTGTCCCCACTGCAGAGGGGCCCTTAAGTCTCTGTGGGTGGGCCTCCGTGCATAGGACTGAGCGCTATGCACCAGAAAGGAGTGGCTAAAGGGGACCAATCTGCCTATTAGGGGTTAGAGACCAGGGATGCCCTGGGAGACTTTGTGTCAGGAAGGTTTTTGTGATCATTTGCATGGCCTAACTGCAAAAGAAGAACAAAGGTCTAAACTAGTAGTGGCCTCCGATCTCTAGAGGACAAGCAGAGGTCAGAGGGGGGTAGGACTGAAGAGTGGAGGGAGATCATTTAAGGCAGTGTTCTCAACCTTCCTAATGCCACGACCCTTTCATACAGTTCCTCATGTTATGGTGACCCCCAACCATAAAATTATCTTCATTGCTACTTCATAACTGTAAGTTTGCTACTGTTATGAATCATAGCACAAATATCTGATATGCAGGATGTATTAGGCGACCCCTGTGAAAGGATCGTTCGACCCCCAAAGGGGTCACAACCCACAGGTTGAGAACCACTGATTTAAGGAGACGAGTTTGAGGCAGTAAACTATGGCCCCCCCTCTCCTCTTTTTCAACCTGACTACCTAGCACAATGCAATCACTTCCTGGTTCTCAAATAAACCAGAGAGAGCTGACGAAGGGGCAGAAACCGTCTCCTGCAATTGAGGCAGTCGGCCCAGGCCCAGAATCTGGCGATGTTCCTCAAAGGACTACATGATGCCATGCAAGGTACCTCAAAACACCAGCCTCGAGGTTGAACCGTGCGTCCCAGCTGGGGAGAAGATTGTGGGGGGACGTGGGAGAGAGATGTCTACCTAGTTCCGTCAGTGTTTGGGGGCGTGTAGGAAGGAGAACATAGGCTGTATATCCCACTGCCAGGAGGGCTGACTGCCAGAATCACCTGGCCAGAGACCCGCTGTGTGATCGCGGTTTCCCCAGCCGCCCAGTGGGAGACTCCACAGGTGGACATCACAGCGTGCTTTCCATGCCGAAGCTCCAGAAGTTGTGGAGCCAAAGCGGTGCTGGCTCAGGTGCAGTAAACAAGAGGATGGGTCAAGGACAGAGGCAGATTGGGAAGGCCCCAGTGGACATGTGGTGATGGAGACAGCAGCCCCTGGGAGAGGACAGGTGACAGGCCAACTGATGGGCTGGAACACCAGCAGCATCGTACTCACCCCCAACCCAAGGCACAATGTATGCTTGGGCATGGAGAGCAGAGGTGACCAAAAGAGACAAGTCCGATGTCTGTTCTCAGAGGACAGGGTGTTCCTTAGGAGGTTCAGGCCAGATAAAGATGCTCACCATTCCAGGCGCCTCCAGGCTGGACATTTTGAGAACCACTGCGTTAGACCAACAGCACCAGCATCACCCAGACCTCCTGAGTCAGAGACTCAGGGCTGGAGCCCCGCAGTTAGTGTGGTAACAAACACTCAAAGTGAAGTGTACGGATCTCTACCCCAAACCAGGGCTTCCAAACTGCATCTGCAGACCTGGAAGGGGGCAACGGGTTTTCTGAAAGGGGATTCCTGGTCAAATTGGTTCAGAGAGCTGGGCACATGCCCTGCTGCTCTCAGACAGTCAGAGGCAGAGTAAGGGCTCTGGACAGTCCCGTAGAAGAGAGCTTGAGGTACATTGGATTCATCCAAAATTTGCTCAGATTGATGTTTCAATCTGCCTAGGAATTTTTTCACATTAACACTCTCTTAGGGAAATGATGCTTTAAAAGTATCCTTCTTGTTGTTCAGCAGGATGAACTGAAGCCCAGGGGGCCAGAAAGAAATTGCCTAAAGTCACGGAGCTGGAAAAGAAGCTAGCCGTCCGCCTCCTCCCAGGAGAGGTGCTGGGTGATTCTACGTCTCCATCCCTCCTCCCAGCCTGTGTCTCTCCAAACCCTGCAGCATGGAGGCGCTCAACAGCACACAGGTCTCCCAGTTCTTTCTGAAAGGCTTCTCTGCCTACCCAGCCCTGGAGCACCTGCTCTTCCCGCTTTGCTTAGTCATGTACCTGGTGACCCTGCTGGGGAACACAGGCATCGTGGCTGTGAGCGTGCTGGACGTCCGCCTGCACACCCCCATGTACTTCTTCCTCAGCAACCTCTCCATCCTGGACATCTGCTACACATCCTCATTTGCACCCCTGATGCTGGTGCACTTCCTGTCGAGCCAGAAGACCATCTCCTTCACTGGCTGTGGGATCCAGATGTGTCTGAGCTTGTCCACGGGCTCCACGGAGTGCCTGCTGCTCGCCATCATGGCCTACGATCGCTACCTGGCCATTTGCTGGCCTCTCCAGTACCCCGTGCTCATGAGCCACCAGCTCTGCCTGCTGCTGGTGGGAGTGGCCTGGTCCTTCGCCCTGCTCAAGTCAGTGACTGAGACGGTCATTGCCATGAAGCTGCCCTTCTGTGGCCACCATGTGGTCAGCCACTTCTTCTGTGAAATCGTGGAAGTGCTGAAGCTGGCATGTGGTGACAAGTCAGTCAGTGAGGCCCTCTTGCTGGCTGGCAGCACTCTGCTGCTGCCCATGCCCCTGGCACTCATCTGCCTCTCCTACACTCTTATCCTGGTCACCGTTCTGAGGGTGCCTTCAGCTGCCGGGCGCCGCAAAGCCTTCTCCACGTGCTCGGCTCACCTGACCGTGGTGGTGCTCTTCTACAGTGCTGTCATCTACACGTACATGAAGCCCACCACCAAGGAAGCCCATGTTTCCGATGGGGTCTTCACGGTCCTCTACGCCGTGGTCACGCCCATGCTCAACCCTGTCATCTACAGCCTGCGGAACAGGGAGGTGAAGGAGGCTGCCAGGAAGGTGTGGAACAAGAGCTGGACCTCCAGGTGAGGCCGGCCCGTACTCAGCAACGACAGAGCTCTCTGGTTAGTAGGTGAGGCCATCACCTGCCTTCTGGCAGCCAGGAGGGGGAGCAAGGGTATCTTCATCCCAGAAAGATTCCAGAAGGTGTAGCACCAAGTCCCTTTGGGCCTCGATGGCCCTTTGCTCCTTCCTCGGGCATGGCCCTGGGCCAGCTCCCCGTGTCCATCCCATGACCTCCACACTGGCCACCTGGATGACCTCAGGACTTGTCCGACCAGAGCACGCTATCAGCTCTCCTTCCTCATGGAACTGCGTGTGCCCCCACTGCTCTCAGATAAAGGACGAGCTCTTCAGTGGGATGCTCCAGGGCCACAGGCTCTCCCCGCCGAAGGAATGTCCCAGCCTTCTGTCGCACAGTCTTCCTCCTAATGCAACCCACCAGCCAAACGTGTGCCCTGGGACCCCCGCCCCACCCAGCACTCTGCCTTTCCTGGTTTCTTCCGCAAGGCACCCCTGTCCCTGCACACAACTAAAGGACTGTCTGACCTTGAAGACCAACTCAAATGCCGCCTCTGCCCAAAGCCTCCCCACTCTGCCCCTCTCACCGCGCTCCTCCTGCCGTAAGTCAGCGTTTCTCCCGGAGCAGAGAGCCGAAGGACCCCGTGCCAGTTTCTTCCATAATCCCGTGAGCGCATCAGCGGATAGGTATTCGGGGCAGAGCCTGGCAGTCAGTCCTGCCCACATCTGGGTAGAACTGGGTTGGAATTCCCAGAGGATAGACATGGCCTCCATTGGAGGAGGTCAACAGCTGAGATTCCCAGATCTCTCTGACCTGGCCCCAGGACACCAGTCCCTTGGGGCATCTAGAGCCTGGTCCGTGCCCACACATCCGATCCGATCCCCCTTCCTGGCCCTGAGCCACACCTGGCCCTAGTGCACCTCTTCTTCAGCCCACCCCCTCCCCCAGGGGGTCCCCACATCCCCGCCCTCCTGCTGCTCAGCCTCTTTCCAGCTCTCCTTTCTCAGGGAACACATAGTGGAAACGGACCCTGGAGGCCACGGTCACTGAGCACCCCCGTTCTCTGGCCCTCTGTCCAGGAACGTAAGCAGGGGCTCACCTGTGCCTTTTTACTAGTTTGCAGTGAACGTGCCACACAGGTTTCATGTATGATGTGTTGGAAAACATACGACACCATTCGCCACAGATTAGTAAGTGTGCGCCATCCACGTGGGCTTGCCTGGCTTCACTGAGGACTGTGTCGTGGTGAGAGAGGATCAGCCTATAAAGAAGCCAATTCTGTAGGAAGGGGCTGTGTGGTTGGAGGAGAGATGGAAACCAACCCGACTTAGAAGCAGACTCGTTGGTGGGGCGAAAAACAATGTGGCATTGTTACTGCAGATTGGGAAGCAGGCACGAGGAGGCCTGTGCTTACCTTGCTTGTTCATGGGTCTGACGCTGCCTCTGGCCTCAGGGCACCACCTCTAGGAGGGGAGAGCTGGGCTTCACCTCTGCTTCTCTGATTCCTGATGGCATGGTCCTCGGTGTCCCTCCCAGGCCCTCTTCCTGCTTCCACTGCTAGTCAGGAACAGGCCCATCGAGGGCACATGGGAGCACCGCCTGTCTCGGCAGTTCCTGGCCCAGGGAGGGAGATGCAGGACCCTCTCCGTCAGCCAGCTGTGACCTTCTGTTGGGCCCTGGACATCATGGCAGGAGTCTCCCCTGGATCCTGTGGACAGTGGGGGCTTATTCAGATGTACTTTTAGAAAAGTTATTGGCTAACTACCATTCCTCATCCATGATGTCAGTAGACAGGTTTTGTTTTTTTCCTTCTTTAATATAACACGTTTAGTCAGTTACGGCACAGAGAACTCTGTGTATCACATGCTGCTGTGGGGGATGGGAACGCATTATATTAGCAACTTCCTGGGGAAGAAAGTTGGGTGAAAAGAGTTTAACCTTCCCTTCTCTACTAAAGAGAATATAAAACTCCAAAGACTCAAAAAAAGAAACTAGTCCACAGGACTAATAGCCCACAGGGATCAAACCCTCTTATAGCCAGAGACCAGAAAACTAGATCAGAGATTCCCAAACTTGATTGGCCTATCACCCCCTTTGCCGAAATAAAAGATTACTCAGCACCAACCCCGGCCCCTCCCTTAGCAATTAAAACCTCTTCTACAGTGGACAGGACCACTTTGGGAAACACCGGACTAGATGGTGCGTTGGTTAGCACAACTGACCATCCTGACCCAATAGAAGGTCCCAGACAGAGAAATGTAGAACATGGTTCTGATTCCTGTAAGAGGCCAAATTTACTAGACTGATAGTGATGAGAGAAGGCCCGGAGACCATCACCCTAACACGCCTTTGAACTTGAAACCAAAGCCACTTCCAGAGGTCACCTTTCAACCAGATAACAAATCGGCTTTAAAAAATAAACAAATATCACCCATGAGGACTATGCTCCTTTAAATGATCAACTCTAAGCGACCTTATGAGGAACATTGTCCCCACGAGAAACACGTAGACCCAAGGATGGGCAAGGGAGCCAGACCAATGGAACGTCCACAAAGGCCGACTCACTGTCCCAAATGGGAACCAGATCCGCTGTGCAAACTTTCACCTAAAACACAATATATTTTACTTTAATTTCCAGTTCCTTTGACCTAACACCTCTATTTTCAGAAACAATAAAGAGATGCAGTGAAGATAGATGCATTAGGTTATTAATTTCAACACTATTCACAGTATCCAAACATTATAACAACTCAAATGTCCTACCACAGAGAGATGTTTCAATAAATCCGGGTGTTGTTAAAGATAGAGTTGATGGAGCCATAAGAAATCCTATTTTTGGAAGATTCTTTGATGGTGCAAAATGCCCTCAATGGAATTAGCATATAAATGTAGTAGAATGGCAGACTGATCAGTACAACACAATTTTATTTACATAGTTTCCCTATAGGTCTAGGAATAAGTATGTGTATAAAAAATGCAGGGAAACGATGACAAAACATGAACTAACTCTTATAGCCTAACCATAGAGGTGACAGGGAAGTATTGTTCCTTAATTGTTATTTTCAATATTGTCCAATTATTCTGAACGGACATGCTCTCACCTGGTTGGGGAGGGGGCATGAGGGATATGGAATGCTCGTTTTTAAGAAACAGCCCCACCCTGACTCCAGAGAAAGGACGGAGTAGAAGAGCTGCAGGTGAGCAGGGAGGGGGGAGGGGGGAGGCTGTTGCAGTAGCCCAGGCTGATGATGAGCCCTGGACCAGGTGGGCAGAAGAGCCTCAGGGAGAGCCAAGCAAGGGTCGGGGGTTTACAGGTCCTTGTGGAAGAGCTGGGGAAAGCGAGGAGACTGTGGGTTGGTGTGCCTGGCTTATGTGGGTGGAGACTGGAACATTCACTGAACCCATTGACGGGAACATGGAAGAAGAAGCCTGTCTTAAACCTATTGAGTTCCTGGCCCCGTGGGGTAGCAACTGGGTGCTGTTCCGTGAGCACTTCTTCCAACTTTTACTTTCTGGATCAAATTTCCAGAAGACAAATCAGCGTCATGTGAGATTTTGCAGCTTCCGTTGCTTCATTTACCATCAATGTTTAGCTTCTAAATGGTATCAGTTGGTTACTCTGTATTGTAAAGGGAAAGAGAAGAGAGGAGGGACAGGAAGAAGGTCAAAAAGAAAGAGAGGGAGGGTGGAAAGGGGGACAAAAGGAAGGGAAAGAAAAAGCATTCATGAGTCCAGTCCTCAGCACTACCTGGAAGGAGACAGGAAGGATTGTCCCACCCCATTTCCCAGCCCAGGGTCCCCAGGCCCAGGGAAGAGCAGCCGTGGCCACCAAGCCTGTACATCTTAGGTGAGACCCAGTCTGCAGTCTATGCCCAGCAGCCTCCCCTCTCCCACCACACCCCAGCAGGCCCCACCTGTGTCTGAGCCAGAAACCTGGAGTCTCTGAAGCCAGAGCTGACAAACCCTGAAACTTTGTGAAGTTGCCGCATTTGAACTTTAAATTGGACAGGGACCGTGAGCTCCCTGAGAGCATGAGCTGAGAGCATGGCAGGGGACAAGGACCTGTCCTCAGGGCCTCTCCGCCCCAGCCCTGCCCAGCCCTGGGGGCCTGCTGGTGATGGGCTCCACACTCCCTCTGCTCTCCAACCTCCCAGTCAGGCCCACCTGGCCGCAACTCCAGCCACCTGCATGCACTCAGCCGCTGGGCCAACAGGGAGAAGGTGAGAAGCAGACATCCACCTTGTGGATTGTCTTCAGGAAACTTACTTTAAGCTTTTAAAACCCAGAATCTCTGCTTGGGAGAAAGGACATATGAAAAATAATAACTGCTGCCAATTAGTGATCGCTGATAACACTGCTAACCATGAGCCAAGCTCTGTGCTGACGGCTTCCCGGGCACTGGCTCACTGGACGCACCAAACAGCCCCACAGAGAAACCCTGTTATGTCTCCACATCACAGGTAAGGAAAGAATCTGAGGCTCAGGAAATTGCTAGCTAGTGGCAAAGCTGGGCCTTGGACCCAAAGGCCACAGGCAATGACCCTGCTTCACATGGAGGAGGTGGTGAAGCAGGGGTCCCAGGTTCAGGCCCCCCAGGGAATGCATAACAGACACTCTCTTCTCCATGTGCCCCCCCTTCCTGTTAAACCAATCTGTACTACATGACACAGATATTAAATGGCTAAACCTACATTGACCCATCAGGAAAACGGATGTGTGCTATTTACCTTGCAAAGCAGCCTCAGGGTTAGAAGTTGCTAGAAAGAGCTGAGGACACATTTGAGGGATGGGGGAGCTGCGTTGTTCTCGGCTGCGGAGCCAGGACCTAACCCTCGGTGACCCCACACAGTGGGAGGAAAGGCTCCCTAGACCTACACGATCACCATCACCCAAAGGGAGCCACAGGGTGCCCTGGAGTTGGCTGTGGGAAGTAATTCGCCGGGCTCTCCTCTCTAACCTATCTTGGCCTGGCAGCCCCACTGAATCTGTTGGGCACAGCAACCTGCAGGCCCACTTCGAGTGGGACCGTGAGCTCCCGTGGGGTGGGTCAGTCAGGCATCAAACTCAGGTCTCCCACCTGAAAAGCAAGAATCCGCCCCCTGCCCTACCCATCAGTCTCATGCAGAGCCCTATAGATCACCTCCATGCACGGCTTCACGTCCTAGAAGGAGAAGGTTGACCGAAGTTACACCACAGAAGAGGCTCAAAGACAAGAATCAAAGCTGAGCGTCCTCACTCCTTGTATGGGGCTCGGTCCACGGCATCACGCATCTCCAAGGGGTTTCAATGGGGAGAAGGGCATTTTTTTCAGAGACTCGCAGTGTCCTATTGCTCCATGAGCCTGCCTTTCCCGGACACAACATCGATATGCTAAGTGTGTGCTAACCCCCCACTGACCCCAAATAGAGAGGCCATGAGCGCTGCTGAGCTATAGTCCTGGACCACCTCCATCTGGGCTCGGGGTAGGGTTACACATGGCGGGAGCAAGCGGGCATAGGTGAGATAGTCACTTGCAGGTCAGAGCATGAAACTACTGACAGAAGGTGTTCTGGTGTACCCTGCCCCTGCCACAGTGACTGGTGGCTTCCAGGCTGGGGAGTCTCCCTCCACGGGGACCTTGAAGGAGGTGCCCCGGAGCAGAGCCGCCCGACACCCTGAGCCAACAAGCGGCCAAGTCCTTTTAGGCTCTGAAATCGTGGTCACAGTGTTGAGGGGAAGAGCCATCCTGGACGGGCGCCTCCCCTGGTGTGACCACAACGTCATTAACCACTTCTTCTGTGAGATTTTGGCAATGTTGAAACTAGCCTGTGGTGACATCTCCCTCCCTGCGCTGTCATTAATGTTGACCACAGCCTTGCTGTCACTGACCCCACTCCTGCTCATCTCTCTGTCCTACGTCTTCATCCTGGCTGCCATCCTCAGGGCACCTTCGGCTGCAGGCCGGCGCAAAGCTTTCTCCACCTGCTCCACCCACCTCTTCGTGGTGGTGATTTTCTACGGGACCATCTCCTTCATGTACTTCAGGCCCAAGGCCAAGGACCCTGACTCGGACAAGCTTATTGCCTTGTTCTACGGGCTCGCGACGCCCTCCCTGAACCCCGTCATCTACAGCCTGAGGAACGCGGAGGTGAAAGCCGCAGCCGGAGCTCTTCTGAGGGGAGAGCTGCTTGCTCGAAAAATGCCCCTCTTCCAGGGCTGCACTGCTTCTCTGTGGGCCCGGAGAGGCTGAGGCATGCCGTGGTCCCAATGCTGCCGGTCCATTGGAAGATGATGCGGGTTCTGCTCGGCGTCATCGGGAAGATAAAGGAGCTACCATATGGAACATCACGTGGCACCAGGACAAAAGAAAAAGGAATAGACAAATCATGCACAGACTCTTCAAGGTCCTGCTCAGACGTGGCATCTTCCTTCCACTTGTGTGTCAACTAACACAAGTCCCATGACTACATCTGATAGCCAGGAGGAAAAGTATATGCGTGCATGGCCCTGCAACTGATGACCTCATGACTTCCATCTGTGTGAGTCTGGGTACTTTAGAGAAACAAATCCACAGAAACTCATGTATAAGAGAGAGTCTCATATAAAGGTTAAGTGCGCATCAAGAAAACATCCCAACCCAGTGCTGCCCAAGGCCACAAGTCCAACGTTAACTCAAATGTCCAACACCAATCCACAAAGTCCTCCTCCATCTCACAAAACACACACAATGACTGCAGGAGAAAAGCCACATCAGTGAATGCGTAAGCATCTCAGCACTGGCAGGGGTCTCCACACAGCTGCTGCTCCAGCACCCAGGACTGCATCAGGGTAGGTCCATGTGGCTTCTCCTTGGGGATGTGTTGCAGGAAGGGAGTGTTGCCAGCTGAAGCAGGGAACTGGCTAAGGCAGCTGCACCCTGGTCTGACCATCACAAAGCAAGAGACCCAAGAACTAAAAAGGCTAGACTCACAGAGCCATTTATCCCTCTGCCCTTCAATTAACCCCACATGAGTTTAATGACCAGGTTGGCACAATAAACTACCTCATGCTCCATCCTAGTCAACTGAAGCGCTGCTGGGGCTCTGGCTTCCTTACGTCAACCACCCGTCCTTCAGACAGAGGGATCGGTGACTCATTTTGTAGTAGCTTTGTACTGTCAACCTAACTAGCCTTAAACTATCTTTGCCAAAATTCTCTTCACAGTGCAGTTCAGAATTAGAGTTAATAAGTAGAGAACTTTGCATGTGATTTGGAAGGTAAGGGACAAGCAGCAACCATTTTGATGGTCAGATCCGTGGAAGGCAGCAGACAGGGAGGGGACGCCCACTGCCTCTCGCTCAGCTGTGTTGCTGCATTCGTGCAGGCAGAAGTTGGCCCCTCGGCTCCTCCAGCTCTCTTCCTTCAGCTGTCCTGACTCCTGGGCCCACTGCAGCCCCATGAGGAAGAACACCAGCTTCATAGTAAGCTCAAGTCACTCAAAGGGAAGGCAATACGAGGCAGATACTAATGTCAATGTAGTTTCAAGCGGTTCGTCCCTTCATACCCAGCTTTCCTACTGAACTGCCAGCCCAGCTGACCGACAGCAGGTCCAACCACCGATGCAGAGCTAACAGTGTTGCATAGACTTCACCAACTGTCCCCCCAGTTATAAAGGCCTACTCGCTAAACTATGGAGCCCTGGTGGTGTTATGGGAAAGCATTGGGCTGCTAACCATTGGGTCAGCTGTTCAAACCCACCAACTGCTGAGGGACATGAGGCTGTCAACTCCCTTACAGATATACAATTTTGGAAATCCAATGGAGCCGTTCTAGCCTATCCTATATGAGTCGGAATCTTATCAGTAGCAATGGAGTTGATTTTTGGTTTATTCTTGATCATAAATCCCTTAGGTCACTTATAATCTGCTACTTTGATAAATTCCAATTTTTCAATCTTCTTGGATGATGTGATAGTTAAGGTTTATTGTGCCAACCTGGCCCATAAACACATGTGGGATTAATTGAAGGGCGGAGAGATAAATGGCGAGGTAAGCCTCGCCTTTCTAGTTCTCTTATCTCTGGTTCTCTGATGATCGGGCCAGGGTGCAGCTGCCTTAGCTAGTTCTCTGCCTCAGCCCTCAAGGCTCACTTCCTGCGAGACATCCCCAAGGAGAAGCCACATGGACTTACCCTGATTGATGCAGCCCTGGGTGCTAGAGAAGCTGAGTCAAGACCCCTGCCAGCGATGAGATGCTTATACCACCACTGGATTCAAAGACTCTCTACCCATTGGCCTGTGATCCTCCTGCATTTGGCATCATTGTGTGTGTTTTGTGAGTTTGAGGAGGACTTTGTAGATCGGTAGCAGACATAAGGGCTAAGTCGGACTTATGGGCTTGGACTGGACGGGGTTGGGATGCTTTCTGAATATACACTTACCCTATATATAAAACTCTCTCTTATACACATATGAGTTTCTGTGGATTTGTTTCCCTAGTTTACCCAGACTAACACAGATGGCTTTCCATTACCACAGCATTCAGCCCAAATTCCTCAGATGGGTCTGACCTGCCAGGTTCCGCAGCCCTGTTCTGCACTTCCCCCTTCACGGCGCCATTCCCCTTGGTACATTGCCTCCTGATTGGCTCATGTTGTTCTACCGGGAACTAATGTTCAAAACCCTCTTCTTAGACACAACCATTTTCAGGCATCCCTTCCTAATGCACTTCTTTTGCTCTTTACCTTCAACCCTCCTTTCCTGGAATCTTCCGCTTGGTCGCTATTCCACTCTGCCTTGCTTTAGCTATATATCCCAATGTCAGCTCTTTGAGGGCAGAAGTCAACTAGATCTGGCTCATTTCTGTAGCCCCCACCATGTCTTCTCTATTTGCTGAACTGAATTGGCCAAAAAAAAACAAAGTCCCTGTCTTGACTGAATTGAGCCTTTTAATTACTCTAATGGCTCTACTTGGCCAGGGCTCCCGGTCTGGGTCTATGTGCAGACATACGTGAGGGCCCAACAGGTTCTGCTGTACTCCAGGAAGGCGGTGTCTACATCTCAAGCTCCCTGCCACTGAAACAGATCAGGGCTTAACCAAGAAAAATGGGGTTTCAGGCCTGGTTCAACAGCTATGCTCACCCCACAGAGATCCCCCAAACTCAAAATATCCAAAGCTCAATCACACACATCTCCCTTGAAAGCTGAGTCACCATCTTAGGATATAGCACCCAAGCTGTGACTCACCTAGCTAGAAACATGGTGGTCATCAAAGACGTCCTGCCATCCCTCACCACCCCACACATTCCATCAGTCAGTAACTCCTATGGAGACTGCCTCCTCATAGTTCTTAAATCAACACCCTTCTTCACTGCCACTCCATTAAGATGCTTTCCCGACCTCTCAAATATTTCAACAGCTTTATCATTCGCCGTCCTCAAACTCTCTCCCAAACCTACTCTTCTCACACAACTCAAAATATCAACGTAACCTACTCTCCACTAAGTCCCTTCTTACTTCTGACACGTCGCTTAGTTGTCCTGCCTCATCACTGATGGGCTTCACTGACCCACTCCACCCACACACACACCCCAGGTCCCGGCACGCTGTCCCTTGGTAAAGTATCAGATTTCCTGCCTCTGTTTTTCCTTGCGTTTTAGACATTATCTGTGTGAATCATAAACTATGGATAGCCTTGAGAAGAAAGATATGTTAGGGTTCTCTAGAGAAAAAAAAAACTAGGACACTTATGATTTTATGATTAGATAGATAGATAGATAACGATACAGCATGGAATATAACAGCTATTTAGTACACACAGCAGCAGTACAAAAGACCCAGTTCAACTCACTTCCGTGAAAGTCAATATACTGGCAGTCCTTCAACTCACGAGGGCTGCTTGGTCCAAGGTCAAGGAAGCACACAGAGTCTTCCTTAGAGTAAGGTGACCAGACGTCCCGCTTTTGGCAGGACAGTCTGATTTTTAACAATTTTTCCCCCACGTCCTGTGGCATTTTAAAAAAGTCCTGATTTTTTGAAAGAATGCACGACAAGCTAGGGTATACGGTTTTCAGCTGCCATGTGGCTATTTCACCAGGATATGAGTTTTATCAATGGTGTCCCGCTTTACCAATGTTAAAATCTGGTCACCTTACCTTAGAGCAATGTAGGCAGTCCGGCCAGAGGCAGCAAACAGCAAGGCAGGTCACCAACAGTCAGCCAGATAACAGGATCCAACAGCCCCAAGCTCTAGTGATGTACACACCAGCAGCATGGTGAAGCAGGTCTTGAAGGAACCTCAAGCTCTAGTGACACGATCCACGGACTGGATGTCCCACAGGTAGTGTAGCTCGCAAGTTGAGGGAGTGAACTAACTAAGGCAGCTGCACACTGGTCCAATCACCAAAGAGCAAGAGAGAGAGAAGGAGAGAGAGGGGTGGGGCTCACCGAGCCATTTAACTCTCTGCCCTTCAATCAAACTGCGACCTTATTAATCCCATATGTTCTAATTGGCCAGGTTTTCACAATAAACCTACCTATCACAAATGGGAATTCCAGAACACTTCATTGTGCTTATGTGGAACTTGTACATGGATCAACAGGCAGCTGTGCAAACAGAACAAGGAAATATTGCATGGTATAAAATCAAGAAAGGGAAGTGTCAGGGTTGTATCCTCTCACCGTATTTATTCAATCTGTATGCCGAGTAAATAATCCAAGAAGCTGTATTACATCAAGAAGAATATGGCATCAGGATTGGAAGAGAGCCTATTAACTATCTGCAGTATGCAGATGACCCAACCTTGCTTGCTGAAAGAGAGGACTTGAAACATTTACTAATGAAGATCAAAGATTGTGGCTTTCGGATGACGAGTCATTGTAAAAAAAAAAAAAAATCCTCACAACTGGGCCAACAGTTAACATGATGATCAATGGGGGAAAGCTGAGAGTTGTCAAGGATTTCCATTTCAGTTGGCTCTACAATCAATGTTCATGGAAGCAGCAGTCAAGAGAGCAAAGGACGCATCGTGCTGGGTAAATCTGCTGCATGAGATCTCTTTTGGATATTCAAAAGCAAGGATGTTACTTTGAGGACTGAGGTGCCCCTGACCCAAATCATGGTATTTTTGATCTCCTTATATGTATGTGTGGTAGTTACACAATTGTATTTCAACTTGATAAATAAGAGTGGAGGGGTGGAGTCTAGCATGTCAATCAGGTCACAGCCTGGTGATCCCTCCTTGTGGGCATGGGCTTCTCATGAGGTTTCTGGG